CTGCTGATGCACTGTAAAAGCCTCCTCTCACCATACCGGTTTAGACATGTTGCAGACTCATTTATTACCATTCCACGGTTCATTCTTTTATCACCTTTATTTATGTTTTCAACAACCACTTTGACTTCATCAAATTTTTTTAATGGAAGTGGAACACAATGCCGTGCGCATATAGACCACCAAAGTAACCAACCTGTGAGCTAATGAGAGGCCCCATGCTGTTATCTAAAGCTTCTGCTTCTCTACCACTACTGCACTTCTGTTAGGGGAGAGAACACACACCGGGCTAACGCTCACATATGTTGTCCTGTGATGGAGGTTTCCCTGAGATGCAAAGACTCATGGAAGCCTCTGTCATACATGCAGCAGCCTCTTGTGCACATCTTATTCACCCACACAAACGCACACAACAGAGAGAAGATTTGATGGCACCAAAGACCACAGTAAAACAAAAGCACAAATGACACCCTCCCTTGACAATCCCAGTTGTAGCTGCTTGCCTTTGTCTGATATATCACGTGCATTAAAATGCAAAAGAGAACTTGCTTAATTGAACAAACTCTCCTAATTTGTGTTAAAGGAGGGAAGACAATGCTGCTCAACAATTTGTGTGTGTGTGTGTGTGTGTTTCTTTTTCTCTGAGCTGGTTAGATGGGCGTGTGTGTGTGTGTGTGTGTTGAACCCCTGCCAAGCAGAGATGCATTATTTAAGATGGTGTTGTGATACTTGTGCCTGCTTAAAGGTCTCAGCTTCCTTTTAACGCCATGCCGCATCAATCCACCTCTGCCCCCACTTGTGGGGGGAACCAGAGTGGGCCCTGCTGGCACCGGTCCACACATCACCTGGGAAAATATCACAGCAGGGGGAGGAAAGGAAGTGATATAGATAACCTTTGAGTTTAGCACACATTCTTATGAACACAGAGACATTTTATTACCCCTCTTTATTGTCATTTCAGTGCTGACTTTAGACTTTTGTATTTTTCAGTTTTTACAAAATATTTATGTTGTGTTTGTGTATGTCTTTTGCCCACCTGAAAGTTATTTTTAAAGTGGTGGTTTTTGTATGTTTTCCAATACATAGAGCAGCTATGATTGTTACAAAAATAAAAGGTTGACTGCCAGTTTCATACAAGCACATGGAGCTGGACATAAGAGTCTAAGTCTGAATTTGGAAATGCCGCTTTCCTACTGGTAAAAAAGCCTGTAATAGAACAGAAAATTGTAAATTGAATATGGTTAATTACTCTTCATGCTATGCCACCAGCCATGTGTGCAAGGCAAAAAGGAAAATCTTGGGAGAGTGGAGGGAAAAGCGTCTGCAGAGGAACTTCAGGGCCCCTCATTACACTCCGCCCCTGGGTATTTTTACGCCTTTTATTTCCCATCTAATGAACTGTTTACATTTTTGAGCTGTCCAGGCGCCACAATTATTTGTGCTTGTCCTGGTGTCACTCATTGCACTGGGCAAAAAGCAAGGAGGAGAGTTGGAGGGCATTAAAATGTGTATATGTCTCTCTGTTTATTTGATTTTTGTTATTGTAATTTTTTTGTACATATTCAACTTTTTTTTTTTACATTACAGTACCACAATTGTTAACTGATTGAAATGGGAAAAGGTAACTGTTATTACTACTTACTGTTAAGATGAACTTTCTCCTTTTTGGACTATAGAGGAACTTAAAGCTCATCATGTTTATTAAGAAGATATGTGCTCACTTGCCCAAATAGTAAAAAGAAATTGCACATAAGAAGGAAGGATCCATGTATTTGTTATAATTAAATATCATTTGCCTCTCAAAGGATTATGCCAAACTTATTAGCATATCTGATATGTATTGTTATGCATGCATATGTAATTACATTTTGATGAGTAAAGACAAATCAGTTTTTATTGTCTGCTCTCTGTGTCAGCAGAGGTAAAACGGCTGTTTTTGACAGGACACCAGCACCTCCATTGCTGCATTTGACAGGATGTGTAGAGTCTTAAAGGCAGGCCGCTTTGCATAAAGTTAAGATGTACCTTTGTACTTTTCTTGTGTGCTTCTGGGAATAGAAGCAAATTCTCACCCAAAATTTAAAAAGTGACAAAAGACGGACCTTTCAAAAGGATAAAAAAAAAAACACTTCTTTTTTCCTGAGCAATAAGGTATCTTCTGAAAGCGCTCATTCTTTTTTAGATTACAATTCCTGATTAGTTGGTTTCATCTTAAGATGCAGAGCTCAGTCTTCACATGCTCTAACAGGAATGAGAGTTTCTTTGCATTGTCTTTATAGATTTTACTATAGAACAGGTAGCTGATATATGCCTTCCTGACCTCAAGAGTGATCCTGTCGTCACTTAGAAAATATCCTAATTTATAATCCAAAACTGTTGCTGCATTAAGCAGCTGAAATTGCCCAGCTGCTTATGTTTTACCTCAATTGGGAAGGCAGTTATCACTCAGGAATATGTTGTTTTCCAGAGGGGGAATCAGAAATGTGTGTATACTGTACAGGGGAAGTAACGGCAGCACTTTCATTTCAGTGACATTTTCAATTCTTTATACTTTCTTTGTTATCTACACTGTTCCCATTGCAGATATGCTTCATACATTCATCTGTAACAAACTGCTATTTAGAAATACGAAAAAAAAACCTTCATATGGTTAGAAGGCGACGTAATCCTAAAAATTCAAAACAGTGCTTCTCCTCGGCTTCCTAATCTCAATTACTGCTGAAGCCGTCTTTCCCCCTACGTTGCACTGCAGCTTAAGATGTAACTCAACTTGGATGGAATATGTGGATGTTTTCCTGGCAAAAATATGTGTGTGCACGAGGAGCGTATATGCTGTCTTCAGATTGATGCTTATTGTCTTTCTGGTTTTAATCAGTTGCTTTAATTTCCTGACAGCACATTGAGCACATATTTACCCTTGCACAGAAGATGGGAGTTTAAAAAAATATTCACATTAAAATTGAAATTAAAAGTCAACATAAAAATTGGCATAATTTTTATGTTGACTAAATTTGATCACTTTACGCTTAAAAAGCAGTTTTACATTTTCTGCTAACTTTTCATCATTGGATGTTTTTAGAAGAAAGAAAAAAGGTTATCACCCATTTCCATTTTTTTTTTTTTTTTTTAGAGAACTGTTTAGCCCTTAATGTGTTGAGGAAGCTAATTACCTTGAGAGATTTAAAGACTCAAGTGTAATACATTCGTAGGTTGTCTGCCAGTTTACCTCAGTTTTGGAGTTTTTTGTCATATAATTGTAACAGTTATCACAAACTTAAGTTACTGTGCTTCATGTTGTAATGCACAATTGTAAAAACATCTTAAAAAGCACATTTTGACATAGTGCTCCTGTGTAATGTCTGTTTTGGGGGAGGAAGCACGTTTTATTTGAGTCTGTACTGCCGATCCTCTCTTTCTCCCACAGTAGGCGTTCTGTGGTTAGCTTAGGTCCCTGTGGTTGCGTATTGTTTGGGTGTTCTCTTTATCTAATGGGTTTTGTGGTCTGGGTCAATCAGGCCCTCGGTCTAGTCAGTAATTACTCCAGAGAACTATGACCCTCACCATCACGATAATAACAGCCAAATCACATCAGCCATGACTTTCCACTCAGTGCTCCAGATTATGAGACAAAAAAGAAAAAAAAAAATCAGATGGTTCGATTGTGATTGGTTCTAAAGTTATTTCAATCAAGGAACTTGTTATCATCACACTTGAGGTTAGAATTTTTTTTTTTCTAAGTTTGGTTTGTGCTTTTCTTATGGAAGGTAGCATCAAAGTACTTAATGCAATAGCTTCTTCAAACTATTACTGATAATAGAAAGATTGCAACAAAGGATGCTGTATTTGAGAAAAAAAGTCCCTGCCAGGTAATTGGTGTTTCTTCACTGATTCCCTGCCTATGTTTTATTTATTTAGAGTCGAGGGGTAAGTAAATATAGAAAAACAGAAAGAATTCATGTTGAGAAAAAGTGATATTTTCATTCCTATGCTAGTGTTTGTCTTTGATTTTGCCCACCTCCAGCAGCCCACCTAGAAACCCTGTCAAGGCAGGGAGAGAAAGTGAAGGAGGCTTAGTAAACACTTCTGTCTGCTGCTGGTGTGTATTTAGTTTAGAGGGCATGCCAAGAGGCTGTTTTCTCCATGGTTTGGGTGTCTGTAAACAAGTGGTACAACGCTCAACACTCTTCCACAATCGGAGGTGGCACACTCTGAAGTGTGTATGAAATGTGTGTCTGGGTGTTTGTCTTTTTGGGTGTTTGTTTTTTTTTTTTTTGGACACGGCATTCTCTCTTATTGTAGACTATCTAGACAGAGAGAGTGAGAGAGAGTTTGTGTGTGTGTGTGTGTGTGTGTGTGTGTGTGTGTGTTTGTGAGAGGCAACCCCAAATCCGTTGGGCCGCCAATGGGTGATGAATTATTCCCTTACTGAGTCTCAGCATTGGTGTTATCACAGAGCCTGCCACTGCACTGGGATGACAGCAGTGACAGCCCCCAGAAAAGATTTAGCGCTGACAAGTGATACTTCCTCATAATACATCTCCCTGGCCCTCTCCCCTGTCCCCCTGTTCCACAGCCTCTCCATGCACACAAGATGAGGTTTTTTATCCCTCAACTTGTGTTTAAGTGGGCAAGGTGGGGGTGAGGTGGGGTGGAGGCTGCTTGCCGCCACTTCAATGGCACAAGTACACTAGGTACAGTAGATCACCTTGGAAGGAGGCATGGGCACAAACCCAAAAGTGCTTGTTGTCAGTACATGTGTTGTAAGGGTGCACACACAGATACACACTTGCACACATACAGTACAGTACAACCTGCAAATATATGACTTAGTTTGTCACCGAGTTCCATTAGGGGGCTCTCGTGCTTAAGGAATGCCTGTTGTGTTTTTGCATCAGCAACAGTACTAAGCCATTTTCCCCCACTTGTTTTCTCTTTTTTCTCTCTTCTCTTTCTCCCGTCTCTTCTTCTTTTTGTCCTTCTTCCTCACCCTCCTCCCTCTGCAGAAAAGGTCACGTATTGCCTACAGTGATGAGGTGCGCAACGAGCTCCTGGGGGATGACGCCAGCTCCTCAGAGAGCCAGGTGAGGCACTAATCAGGGGCCCAACTGACACCAGTGTGGGTGGCTGACTGGCCCCTGGGGTTAGGAAGGGGGCCCCTCATAGGGGCCATCGAGAGCTGAAACCACAGCATTGTCACCAAGTCATGCGGAAGGAACACTGTTTAATGCAAAGCTGGGCTGCCAGTGAGTGGGCGCAGGGCATGGGACCAGTGTCTGGTCAAAGCCAGATTGTGAGCAACACACACACACACACACACACACACACACACACACACACACACACACACACACACACACAAAATTATGTTCTCTCATCTCCAAGTGTGACAAACCTCCACAATGCAGATACTCAAAATAAATAAGGACACAGGTCCTTATATTTTTGACATCTGATACAAAAATTTGAAATATTTTAGTGCAGTGTAATACTCTATATATTATAATTTAACCTCTTAATATGAATTATTATTGAATATTAGCCTTTGACCAAAAATCGCAATCTATTTGAAATTTTAGATCTATTATCTATTTATAGATCTATTATCGGTTTATAGTTCATTAAGAGGTGGTTAGTGACTTTGTTTAAATAACAGCCTGTTGAATTTGACAGATAGAAACAACAAATCAAGACCACATTAACAATTTCCATTCGTTGTCAGCAGTGTCTACAGAAGATTAAGTCACATTAGTTATGAAAGTAGCGCTGAAGCAGAAAAACAATTATCCTGAATTGTGATCTTAATTACCTAAAATATGCCATGTTCTTTTAAACTGAGTTGTTTTGAATAAATGCAGAGCTGCATCAAAACCGTGATTCATCAACTGATTCAGCCCACAGCGTTTTAACATTTAAGATGCGCTTACCTATTGCTCACCTGCACAGCTGCCACTCATATGCAGCCACTCTTAACTGTGACCAGACGTCTTTTGACTAATTATATATTGTCTTTAGAATTGGCTGTCTACGTGCAGGGGTTACTCTTTCTCAAGGCACACCCAGGAAAAACTCTCACATGCAAATAAATACTTTGCATTTTCAAACATGCACACTCAAAAAGGAAAAAAGATGAATACTCAAATGTGTATTGGCACATTTGGTCCCTCAGTGCTTTATGGGAGTATATTTAGATGATTCATGGCTAAGCAAAACACAATAAAATTGTCTGTTTTTTTTTGTTTTTTTTACGTTTGCCTATTACCATTTCAATGATAACCCATGAACTACACATCTTAGAAACATATGTATCACGAGCCAAGATGTGTAACTGATATGCATATTCTGGGCAAATTAGCAAGACACAAAAGTGATTCTGACATTTTATGCAGAAGTTGGAAGGAGATTTGCTGTCAGAAATGTCGTGTTTGAGACACTGACGGGTTCCATCAGAATCAGCTTTTCAAGGAAAAGGTGAAAAAGTTATCACATTTAATTTAATTTGATTTTGTTTCCCTTTCATTAAAAATGGATCCAAAGATTTTTAAAAGTAATATTTATGAATCTAGAAATGAAATATCTCAGAGAAGAATGTTCAAATAATAAAAATGTATTAGTGGCATTAATATTATGGAATGATGTTATACATGTATATTATAAATGTTGGAAATTGCTTTTTTTATTGTTGTAATTAGCTTTTTAAAAGTTGTTAAAATTGGCAGTAATTATCAAATTTATTTTATATGGTTTTATATTATGTCATTATTTTACTGAATGAAAACTAGTAAAATATTGTGCTACTTTAATCAATGCATGCATAACATTTAACACTATCCAGAGCTTAATTCTTAATTCTCAGTTCACTTAACATAATAATGTAAATTATGAAATATAATAATATAATATAATAATACAATCCTAAGGTATATAGTTTTCTAATTTTATTTGACAGAGGTATAAGAGGTATAAAATACATTTGTACTAAAATTAATTTTCTTTGTGAATTAAGGTCATAAAGCACTTAAAAAAAATCTAAGCCATAGTAGGTAGGTGACATGTTCCTTTTTGTATATTAGTGTTCTTTTTTCCTCTCATATTCTCTTGCTAAAAAAACAAAAAATCTAGAACTCATACCTTAATATGTTTAACACATACACTATAAATTATTTAACTGTGAAAACACAGTATTAATTAGCAACAGTAATGTCTGATGTGAAAAATTATAATTGTATGTTTGAAGCGCACACAAAGCCAGTTTATGCTGGGGGCAAAAGCAAAGTATATAGATGATATACATTTGCCCTTTTTCTCCCAGGAGCCATATTTACCTCATTTTCATTTAAAAACTTCTGGAGATAATACTTGTCTTGGTCTTGCTGTGAGTGGAGTACTCGGAACTTCAGGGTTTTTTTTATCTAACGAGACAACGTTGATAGGAGAGGGGAAAAGATGGTGGGGGCCGGGGCAAGTCGGTCAATTTAATTCCTGACGATCTGAAAGAGGTCAGGATCATTTCATATAGCCCTGGCTGAGCAGATCATTACCAGTCACAAATCTGTTGGTTACATGGCAAGGATTTATAGCTAAGTAAATGGGGAATCGTCATAAGTTCTGAAAATGGCGTGTTGGCCCTGCGATAATGGCTAAAGGACGATTTAATAGAGTTCGGCAGTTATTCGTTATCTGTATGCGGACAGAGACTGAATTGGCACTATCACTTGTTTTTTTTAATAATGTGGTAGGCTACCATTGCACATTTTTTCTTTCTGTTTCCCCTGCATGCAACACACGCACACACAGATGCCACACACAAAGCAGCAAATGCGCACGCATTTTTCACACACGAACACTACACGGAATAGTTTCGATTTCAGTCACAGCAGAAGGCTTGGCCACAAGAGATTGTGCTGGTTTGAGCCGGCACAGACCAGATTTTACAGGCTACAAAGGAAGCAGATTACCACTTGTATCGAATTCCGTATTGGATTAAAAAAAATCTTTTGTTTGAAAAAAAATTGCTGATTATCATAACAGAAAAATTGCAGCAGTGCAATTTTGAATACTGGCTGGCATCACAAAAACACAAGGAAAGGCGCTCATGCAGGAGTAATTATAACATTTACAATATTCTGTATTTACTGCTCTGTATCTCTTGTGCAACATAAGCATCGTTGGCCATGCTAAAGAATGGATGCCAAAGAAAAATAAAGCTAAACAGGAAGAAACAAGTAACACAGTTCAATGTGCCCCTCGGATAGTTTGAACAAATCCTCCACAAGGACTTGTAATCATTCAGGCAGCACAAATGAGCTAGAACAAGTTTTGTTTGGTACCCATTGACTGATGGCAAAGCTGGGGTGAGGGATCGCAGCATCTGCTGGGTTTTTTTTCAAGCCCCAAATAACCACATCCACAGTGTAGTTTTAAACTTTGGCCTCTTTAATAATGCATTCTTAGTGGGGAGTTGTTGCTTAAGTTTGAAAAGATAGTTTTCACTCTAAAGTGTGTCTCGTTACTGAGTGCCGACATGTTCAAGGATAAGGGCTCTTTAGAAAAACATGCAATTATACTTGTTTACCTCCCACATTACAGATATTGACAATATTTATGAAATACATCATATTTTTTGTGTTTTTTATCATTTAGATTCATCCTGGGCTCATTATTATATGACAAATAGCTTTGAGTGTGTCTACAGATGTTGGAACACATTGTTTGTAGTACAGTATTGTTTTTTCGTTGTTGTTTAGAATTTCAGCATAAGATAGTTGTAAATGTTAATTCTTCTTAATTCTGGTTATAAGAGCTCATAGAAGGAGCTGACGCTTCATTATCTCCTCTTTTTGATCTGAATTACTTTAACATAACGATGTAATTTTCATACCCTCAGGTCTGTTTTTTTTTTTTTTTTTATTATAAACTTGGCAATCAAGCCTGAAATTCAAGATCTAAAAACCGAAAAACCTATATGATACAAAATTATTCAGGTCTCACAAAATTTCCAAATAAACAGCAAATGTAACAGTGGCCCCGAGCTGCTTCTTGGATCTGCTACCATTTAATGTTGGCCAAGAAATGTGAATTTAAAAAATCGCCTCTAAAAGACTTCCCATATTCTAGCTAAATGTGTTGCCTTCCCATGATAAACCTCAGTCTTCTTCTGTTCCCTTCTCTACAGCCCTCACTTAAGAACAGGCTAGAGAAGCAACCTTTTTAACTGTGATTCGGTATAATTAATGGCAAACAGGATTACTTTGTCAGGTGTGTGTTTCATTATCAGAGATGCAAGATTTTCCAGGACAGGGAATAAGAATAGTGTTTCTTATTTGCTTCACTTTCAATTTGCTATTCTCTTTTATCAAAAATGTATAGCTATGCTAAGATTTATTTTTCATGATCTGGGACTTTCCCAGTAATAAGCTGCACTGTACTGTATATATGTACTGTACAGTGATGGCCTCACAACGTTCCATACGTAATCTAAACAGCATGCACCTTTACTGAGATGCATAAACGATATGAAATGTTGATAACACATAGGCACTGATAAACAGTAGTACAAACGGAGTGACTCAGCATTGCTCCATTTCAGTTCCAAAGGGAAGGTCATTTTTAAAATTCTTCTCCATAGAATTCAGCAAAATGACATACAAAATATTTTCCTAAACATTTTATATATACACTAATTGTGCAGGCTATATTTTACTCATTTTTCTCTTGCTATATCAAGTTCTGTGGTAATGTTATTTGATGTCGCCAGTCGAGCAATCCATTCCCTCTTTTTGTTTAATGTGACAGCACCATGACTTGATCTTTGTTTGTTCAAAAAAAGGCAGCCTCCGCAGTGTGTTTAGCCTCATTTAATGTGTTTGTCTTGTGATTTCCAAATGCTAAACATGCAAACAGATAAATTGTCAAGGTTAGTTCTGTACCCCGCTACAACTGATCTTCTTCCTGCCATGTTTCTGCTTTTTTTTCTCTCTCCTTCACTCTCTCCATCTTTCTTTCTTCTCCCATTTGCTTCTCCTGATGCAGCTTATAAAGTTACGTGAAGAGGTAAGTGCTTCTCTGCTCTCACAGCTTAAATTCTGCTTTCCCAGAGAAATCTCTGTTTGCTCACCTCTCTCCTAAAGAAAATTTAAATCAGTTAATTTGGACTTTTTTTGGAGCATCTTAAAGGCCAAGCCAAAGATAATGAATCCACTGAAGGCCAGTTTTTTGAATTTCCACTGCTTTAAATATTAGAAAGTCAAGATAAGGTATTATTTCTAAGACACCTTTTTGGCTACACCTGATGTAAGACTATATAGCAGGATTTGTACTGTAATTCACCGTTGTGCTAACTTTACTACAATTACTTTACATAAGTTCGAACAAGGATGTCAAGAAACATGTCTAAATGAAATTCATGAGACTGCTGACTTGTAGATACTATAGTAATTTATGAGCAAGCTGCTCCTAAAATACTGTTTTGGTTTAGCAGATAACATTAGCTACCGTACATAGCCACCAGAAACAATGGTCACATTTAACTTGTGGCTTAGTTGGTTAGCATACCAAGTTGGAAATGCTATCACAATGTTTTATTAACTAACTAATACCCCACGCTAATTTGCCGTAATCATTTTTATTTCTAATTATTCAATGTGTCCGCCCCCATTAACAACAGTTGGCAGGTTTCTTGACCTTGAGGTGGTAAATGAAGTCAGTGATGCAGTACTTAATTTGTGGTTGCTTGAACTTTTAGCTGTAATAAGATGCTCTAACTAACCTGTTCCACTTGTAATTAAATACAAATTGATGTTGCAACTTGGGTTAATCTTTCAGTAAAAAATATTCATCATAGTACGTAATTTATTGGGCTGGCTCGACAACCCATCCATTTATCATGTTTCCTTTAAGGCTGACAGACTTAAACAGGTATCTTCTACTCCTAATATTGTTTAGGTGTGTGATGTGAAAGGTTTTATTATTCAGATACACCCTCAGTAAAAGACAAAATGGTGATTTTATAGGTCAGGTATTAGATTAGGTAACAGAATTTCTAGTGATACTTAAAAAGAATGTAAACAAATATGCACGTAGCCTTTTAGATTTTAAATTTAAACGTTTTTTGTTGAACCTTCCAGCAAGATTATTAATATTTGTTCAAATGCTGTCATGCTTTAACCAAAATGTGACTTTCTAATAACTTGTCCTTGTACAAATACATTATACATCATATTTTAGTTAATACTCATACATATCTTATTGTGAAAAAGGTGTTTTTTCTTCTAATTGAAGAGCTTTTATTAGTTTCTGTGAGGTTGCAACTTGCATTTGCAGGTGTACTTCCAGTATGTTGTCATATGTGGCTTTAAGGAGACTACGTTCATGTGAGTTTCTGCTGAAGCTGAGTAATTCAGTCTCTATCAAACCCTCACCATTCCCACCTAGAGCACAGACCTGGCCCAGATGCCATGTTATCATTGCCATTTTTATTTTTTATTTTTATTTACCAGTACTTTTGTTTCCTCCCTTTTCTTCCCACCTTTTCCATGCATTTCCTTCTAGCCTGAGGGTCAGAAGACATCTTGCGTTACTTCACCTGTCTACCCCTTTTGGAATGGCCCGATCTGTGTAATCAGGCTTGATTCTGTGCCCTCTTTGCCATTACACTTCCCCACTGCGGTCTTTTACTCTTCTGTTCCTCCTGCATTTGAATCAAAGCCTGGCAGAGCTTATACACACTTAAGCCTTGCTTTTAAAAAACTATACTTTTTTTCTTCAGCTGAAAAACATGTTTAAATATTTAGCACCCATATTCACAGCTGTTTGACACTTGTAATTCCTCATCTTACAAGTCCCAAACAAACGGAACAGAAGATCACACAGTCAGTCTGAATCACAGCTGTCATCATTATTCACTTTGACTCTCCCCCACCCTTATTGAAATAATAAGGAAATCATCTGAACTTTGGAAAATGGTGATAGTAACCGCCTGTGTTTGATATTGAAAAAAGGCAGGAGAGCAAAAGAAGAGGAGAGAGATTTCTTTTGAGCTACAGCTGCATTGTTCTGGGGCTCCCTGTTAATAACTTACAACTGAAGAGTGCTTCTTGACGCAAAAAAGCACAACAGAAAACACCATTTTCATGGTTCCTAAGAAGATCTTTGTTCAAAATGTAGGTGTCAGATGAAAAGGCATACATGCATAGGCAGAAATGGTGGTGGAGGGGGGATGCACCAGTGCACTCACAGATGCACAATATTTATCATATATTGTATTTAAATCCTTTGCTCGAATGTTCCATGAGACAGTCAGATATGATTTTTATCATCTGTAGTTGTTCCTAAGTAGATAAGTGGCAGATTTGAGTCAGTATTTCAGCTTGAATAGGTGTATATGTCTCTTTACCTCATTCTGAAGGTTTCATACTGGTTGTATCAGAAACACAGGGGTCAGACCTTGATATGGGACATTGTAGCACAGTAGGGGCTAGTAGCCACTTTGCATTTCCCTCAACAAAAATGCTGACAATGATGTTTTTTGGATATTGCTTGCAAAGTGCAGAATGAAATCGTACATGGATGTGTTCACATTTTTGTAGTTGTGTGATATTCATGTGTTGGAACAAAGCTGCTTTCCTGAAGATTATGGGTAACCTCGCTTTAGATTAAGTTTGTTGACATAATGTCTATATTGTAATCTCTACATCAGCTGTGACTATATGGGATGTTTGCAAGTTTAGTCTTAATTGTGCATGTTTCTTGTTGTTATTTTTCATGATATCATCCTGTGTTCGTGGTTGGATTTTTCATTATTAGCACCATCACAGTGTGCCATTACTGCATTCTTAGAGGCTGAACTCTCACCCTTTCCTTCAGGTTCTGTCACTGTCAAACTCGGGGCACATTATTCTAATGATCACACACACACATATACACCACCAGTGCCACCACTACTCCCCAGCACCCACCTCACACACCCACCCACAGTTGCCCACCCCTCCCCCTGGCCCTAAAAGAAGGAAGAACAAGGGAGAGGGGAGAGAGAGAGAGAAATTCAGGAGGAGAAAGCTTTGATGTGGCTTTCCATCGCAGTGAGTCTACCGGCCGTCTCCCCGAGACGTGTCACCTTTGCCGAGAGGGAATAGGAAAATCACGTTTCGAATGGTAATGATAACATACTAATCACTTGAGCTCTTTGAAGAACCCGGGGAGTGCGCTTCTCTGTCAGTATCCATGGCTGCCTCATGCTCCCAGGCGCACACAGGCACTGCAGCCATGGTCTAGGTGTATTAGCTTAAGCATTGCATGTCAATACATCCCCTCCATCTCAGCTGATCCATAGGGGCTCATTATAGCCCAGGCTTGGTATCCATTTTCTCCCATGTGCACACTGCCACCATCTCTGCTGGTACCACTACCGCTTCCACACCGATGTAACCCCTCCCCAAAACCCCCTATACTATACCCTTCACCAAAAACACAGTACACCTTGGATCCTGTCCCACTCACCATCTCCTCAACGCTTTCCTCCTACCAGTAACCCATTTTACAACTCAACCCACCCATCCTTTCTCCTATCCCTCCATCCTCCTCCTGCCCTCCCTTTAACTATTAAAAAGTATCTCTGCAATTTTAAATGACATCTGTCAGCAGCACGAAGAAAAAAGAAGTGAGGGAAATGAAAGAGTTCAGAGGCAGTTTTCTCCTCCCTGCTCTTTTCCCATCCCTCTTATTGTCAAACTTTGAAAAGTGTGTCGTTGAAATTTTTTTTTCCTCCGTGTTTTTCATTTCCTCTGAATGATTAGCTGGTACACATTTTGACAGCCAAGCTGAAACTAGAGATTTCACTTCTCCCCCTGTCCCCTTCGCTTATATGATGGGCATAAACTCTTTTCAGAGAGGCGGTTGTCATTCACTGGATTGTTTTTGGCTGTCAAATGTGTTACACCTGATTGGTTTCTTAACATAGCATATTAGAGAGGCTATCAAAACCAACAACGTTGGAGTAAACATTTAAGTCTTTTATGCGTATGCTGGGTATGATCATTGCCTCCAAAGGCAGTATGGTTTTAATGAAAGCTGGGTTTTAGTTTTTACTTGTACATAAAGCATGTCATTACATTGGACAGTGTCGCTTAAAGTTATGTTAGATAGGTTAAGTAAATACGTTTAGTATAGACTATTATTATTGTTATTATTATTATTCAGATACACAGTGCCCCTGACTGATAAGACAGACTGCATCATGGTACTATCTTTTTAAGGAAATGTATACACAGTAAATGCAATTAATAGAGCTCTTTAATTACTAGTGTGTTAAATACACCTAAATGATGATGATACATACAGTATGTGCATAAAAACAAATAACTTTAATGTAACATTAATATGCCGTCCCTGGTAGGCTAGTGGTTAAGGCGCAGCGCTCTCGTTGTGGTGTCCCGGGTTTGAATCCAGGTTGCGTCAGGAAGGGCATCCGGTGTAAAACATGTGCCAAATGTCAACATGCGAGTCGTCAGTGTGACGATTTGCTGTGGCGACCCCTAAACGGGAAAAGTCAAAAGTGACTTTCTATTTTATAAAAGAATGATAAAACAGATACCTCTGTAAATAACTTGCTAGTTATACAGTGCGCTTAGTTTATCAGACTTTATAAATTGTGTTAATAAGGTCAGGATCACAGAATTAAACTTAAATCAGACATTTGAATCTCTAGTTACAGGTCATGGGTAGCGGTACCAATCTTTTGAAGAAAATCTGACCTAGATGTCCAAAACATAGACAACCTCCATAGGAAAACTGTGGGATTAATGCTATGTTTGATATTTTCATGCAGTTTAATGCAACCTCAACCAAAGCAAACCAGTCATAGAGCTTTTATATACAATGCATTAAAAATGTTTAAAAAAAATTAAACTGGGTTTAGCTAGTTTTCGCACAGTACCCTGCCAGTATTTTGTGACAAATTAGCTAACTGGGGCTGTTGGTTGAGAAGAAACTCAGGACACCCTGATGATGGCAGTGGAAAGAGCTCTGGTTAAACCAAACAGGAAAAACATTTAAGACACTGTCAACCTCAACTAATCACTCACAATATAGATACAAAGCTTCAGTGAAATCCCACTCATTCCTGAAAAGTCTCTATTATTATTTTTATTATTATCAGTGTAATATTATCTTAGAATTCTCATACCTTATATGCTCCACTACAGTCTACAAATGAGGGTATAAATGTTGATTTTGTCATACAGTGAACTTCTCCTCCAGTATGAACCTATCAATTGGAAAGCTTCAAATAGAATTTTATCTTCATTCACTGCACCTCGTTGCCTTACCTCTCCCTGTGTGCAGCAGAAGGCTGTGCTGTGAAACAATACTAGGAGGCAACAAACCTCAAAGTAGTTCTTGTTTTCATGTCCAAGATGAGGCAGCAGCATCTCTTACATTGTCTGCCTCAACATGCATATGCTTGACATTGCATCAGAATACCATTGTCATCCATGAAGGTTATTGCCAACCTGGCTTTATTATGTTGTCACTGTGGATGTGGACTGTTTGTTTAGGTGACCTTGTTGATGTGCAGCTTTGAAATGGGTCCCAGCCCTCTCAATCAAATTTTTTTTGTTTGTTTGTCACTGGCTTTATTTTTCTCTCTCTATTTGTTGCAGAGAGCACATCTGTTGGACAACACAGAGAAGATAGAAAGGTCATCACGGAGACTGGAGGCTGGCTACCAGATAGCAGTAGAAACTGGTATGTATTCTGTTTTGGATTGGCTGGCGAAGGAGTGGGGTAGTGTTGGACAGGGGTTCAAGATAGTGGTGAGGATGAGTGAGCGACAGCAAATTGTCTTGCTCATATGCGAGGTGGGTGGATATTTTTTTTTTTTTTTTGGGGGGGGGTGTGTGAAAAAACCTCTTTCCTTGACGCCTGATGACATTTTCGGGGAGCACATCAAAGGCAAGCCAGGGAGGGAGGGAGAGAGAGGTGTACTGGCGACAGATTGGGCGCCGCTTCCCCTTCCTCTGCTCCTGAAGAAAATTCATGCATCACTATAGCTGTGTGTGTGTTTGTGTGTGTCGTGAATGTGAATGTGTCTGTGTTGGGTGGGTAGTGTTTTTTTTTTTTTCCCTGCACCGACAGATAGGGGGTCTATGAAAATAAACAACGTCAGCGTTCTTCCTGAAATCCTTAATTTAGGAGTGCTGAATAAAAAGAAAAGATATCACTTTCTAAATAAACCATCCAAAATACACCCAAACTCCTTTTTTCCTCATTATCAAGGATGGTTTTTATCTTAAAATAGAATAAAAGCTCATTGGGATCTTAAATAGATTTAACCACTTAGCATATTTTTTCTTCCTGTCTTCTCCCTGACAGTCACCACATTTTTGAGGCATAGCGTATTCCTCAGAGATGTATCAAAGCTCATTGTTTCTGTGGCTTCCGTTGTAGTTTTGAAAAAGTTTGTCAATTTACACTATAATCACGAGGTGGGTGGTGTGTGTGACATCGACAGATTTAATAATTCAAGTCAAGGAAGGTTTGCTCGCAGACCACCATCGTTTGATGTTCTCTGTAACTTACATTCACAAATTCACAAATTCAGTCTGCTTTCTTTGCTTAAAAATTTTGATTCAGATGTCTTAGATAATCCTGTTATCCAGGTTTTCGATACTATGTCAAATTTGTGACAGCTGAGAGATTCTTCATTCTACCAGGTTTCACTAGAGTGGCTTGTTGTGATGTTTAGACTTGCTGCTCGGTTGGTGTTAAAGAAGTGGGCCATGGTTCAACAGTATTCAGTACCTCCTGGGCCCGACTGTTTCTCCTGCTGCAGTCAACCATACGCCCCTTGACCCTCTGCCACTGTTGGCTGTCTCATCCACCGTGTGTGTGGCTAGCTAAGAATAATGCTCGTTTATCCTGCATTGGTCTCATATACTTGGCTTGGTCCACACCAGCTGTGGGGTGTTTGTGGTTTGGTGGGGAAGCCTCGCCCCGTGTCTTTAATCCATGACCCCTTCCTTTTCTCCGCTGTCGATACCAACCCTCCGCTCAGCTGCACAACCTGAAATGGCAGTGTCTCCAGGTCAAATAGGGAATACGTGTGCACAAAAACTATAGATATACAGGGAATATGTACTCCTCCACCAGACTAATTATTATATATGCCAAGCTCTCAAATTCAGCAAACACACAAACATTAGGTAGCCATATTTACCCATTGGGTTTATGAGGTTTGACAGGGATTGCCATCTGATCCCAATTCACTTTGGTCTTTAATTTACCATTGTCCACCAATCTCAAGCTATATGTTTACTCTTGCGGTTCCACAGTTGCTCATCACAACACTTTGCAGACATCTTCATGAAATCCTGCACTGTTTAGGCCATATTCCTGCCATAGTTCTTAGAGTATTGAGACAGCACACCAAAGACTGGGATTTGTCTTTTTGCAAACTAAATTGTTTCCTTTTATAGTCCAACAAAGGCTCCATTTATTATAGTGCCTTCTCTTTCACACTAACAAATACAAAATATTTAAATAAAAATCTAAGAAGCACACCACACTTTATCCATGCACATTATGAAAATGGCATTTGCATTTGTTGAGGAATAAGCTTTGAGTTTTCAGACACAGAGGTGTGGCATCCATAGAAGTTAAACAACAATAATTAGAGCATTTAGTGTTTCTCCAATCAGACATACTCTAGTCATACTGTAAATACTTATCTTGGTGCAAGCCTCAACTCTCCTCATACATCTAAGCTGAACGTTTTATAAAAGGCCGTTTAGCGTTGTTATTTTGCAGTAATTCAAAGTTGTATTCTCCATCCACTATGACACAATAGCCCTTAAGAATTGTAATTGACCAGTGGGGGAAGTGGAACTAAAAGATATTTTATTTCAAAGAGAGAGAGATCCCGAACAAAGAAATGGTGCAGAAACTCAGCTTTGCCCTTTTTCTCTTCAGTTTCGACAAAATATCTCTTAATGACCAGGAACAAAAAAGCCAGGATGCTTTTAGGTCACATTTAAGTGAAAAATGAGAACTCTTAGTTCTAAGAAAATATGAATCCTCACATTTTATCAGATTTTATTTTATTTTTTCTACCAGTCTCAATGTCTCCAGTTTGTTTAATGAAAACAAAGACTTGCCAGAAGCCGTGAGAGCCCTCAGAGAGGAGACTCTTTGGCCATTATTTCCCTATTTATCACACGCACCCTGAAGAACCAGGGTCCTCTGTTTGTCTTATACATAAAGAGTAGAACTTCATTAATAAAGAGCACTGACTTAAAAGCCCCGGCATAGCAACAAACAGACATGAGGGCTAGCCCAGTTATAGAGTGCTCTAAATAAAGAGGGAGGGCATGCAGTTAGCCAATTTAAAGACATTTGAGTTAAGGGCATTTGAAATGCCTAAATGTGGAGGCTTGACTGATGTTAAATCAAAGACATGCCAAATTTCTGTCTTTTTCTCTGCAGCTGAAAAGATTTTGCATGATTTATCATCACTTGTTTATAAATAGATAACATGTCAGATAAGACATCTAAGTTGCAATGATTAGCTTTTTTAGCTTTTAGATTATTATTCTTTGAAGAGGAGAGAGGTGAACCTTACAGCTTATACAATGCATGGCTAAGAATATTCCATCAAACCCCTGCCATGGTAATTAAAATTCACTGTTACTGTTATTTGCATAACTGGCATAAGATTCAACTGCTTTAAATTAAATTTGCTTTATTGTGCCAATATAGTACAGCCTTTGTTGACGGTACTGTGAATGTGTCGCTATTTTAGAACATTAGTAGTAATTTAAAATGTAAATAAAAAGTTTAAACTTGAATTTTGTTCTCAACTCTAGCAGCAATAGATTTATATGGACTATAAGCTACTGCTGTGTGTTTGCAGAAACATAACTAATGCAGGTTTAAAACAATTCTGTATTTTTAGAATTAATTTCAACGTGACATGTACGTGAGAAAATTTCTTGGGTGTTTAGGTGCCTGTAATCAATCCTACAAAATGAATACAGCTCATTAGGCATCGATTTCAGTCCTGTTTAGATAAGCAGAGAGGATCGGGGCCTGGTCCCCAGCCTAGCCCAAAGTTCATGCCATGCCAGGTAGAGAGCAGCACCGCAGGCTATCAACTTTATTAGGATGGAGATAAGCTGATTAGACTGTGTCAATCAAAGGTGCCAGTGACTCAATCATGATCCAGGGGACTTTTCTTTCTCTCTCCCCCTTTCTCTCACTTCCCAGTCTCACAATCTCCCTCTCTTTTTGTGATAAATCATTGAAGCGACCAACAAAGAGGCAGCCATAGATGGGCTAAGCTAAGCAGCCCTGCAGTTGTCACCAAGGCGGACGCATGAGGACCCTGTGATGATGTGACGACTGTATTAAAGAGTACATCAATTTGTTTTAGAGCAGTTTGATTTTCAACTGCAGCAGTATTAAAAGAGAGGGGGAAAAGAGAGGGGAGGGCGAGCACGTCGGCGTCCTCGAACATGATTCCAGTGGCAGAGCAAGGGGTGCTAGGACGGCAAGAAATAAATAGATAAATGATAGAGTGATGAGAAATAAATAAATATGTTTTTGTAAACATAAAAAAAATCTTCACAACTCCCTTTTGAAGCAGAGAGCGGCTTTGAGCCTTGCTGAGAGTCTATGGGCGATGGAGTGGTCCAGTAACACAGTGCACATTTGTCCCGACTCTCTATCACTCCCCCTCCATCTTTGTTTCTTTCTGTGTTTCTCTCTCACTCACTTTATTTCTCCCGCTTCCCTCTAAAGATCAGACTCAACGATTCTTTTAGTGCTGAACCACCAAGTGGTGCTCACTCCTCAAATCCATAAGCAAACATTTAACACATGACATTGTCAGTTACATTTATGAAGTGTAAGTGATATGTTAAGCAAGGACTATTATTAGCCCCTGAAAGATTTTATTTCCCTTTTGACAATTTAAAATTTAGAAATATTGTGCAATATTGAATTATGTAATCATGTTAATAAAAGTATATTTCTACACATTAAAATATGCATATGTCAAAACAATATTTCAAATGTATTTTCGGGTGGACATATGAAACCATCCCAAAAAAGTATGGTCCCTATTACGTATTTATTTTTAAAATATAGCTCTCTTTAAGATTTTGTTAATTTTCAGTTTTCAGGGAATCAGTTTTACCATTGGTTTATACTATTAGATTTATGTTTTGTGTCACATGTCAATACATCAGTTTGATACTTGCTGGTATTATTATTTTAATCACTACATGAATTATTTGAATTATATTCAGTACTTCTTTTTCGTATTTACATGTCGCTGAATTTTTTCTCACTTTTTAGTTTATTCTCTCTATTCTACAGTGTAGTTTAAATATTTTAAGGGTTTCTTTTTCGGTTCGCTTTTTAAAAGGACAGTTTGCTAAAGTGGATTTCCTTGAGGTATAGCATAATAAATCACTTTTTTCTAGGCTAATACAATTGGCATGTTGTATTGTGTTCAAAAAGAATATGAAGTTATTTGATAGTTGATTGATTGATTAATGGTGCCAAAAGCTAGGATAGCTAAATATTTCACAGCTTGAGTTTTCAGCTGATGAGAGAGGTTTTAAAGGTAAAGTATGTGCTTTTTAATGAAAAAAATAAAAAAAATAAAAATAGTTTTTAAAAATGCTTAGAAATTTGTTTGACACCATATTTCCTAAATATATATCCTTCATATATATGCTTCAACG